CTTGTATTTATTTATTTACAAGAAATTACAACTGCCAAACCGAAACGAATATCGGTTTGGTTCAGGTTCAGGTTCGGATAAAAATAACGGTTCAAGGTTCAGGTTCGGTTCGCAAAAAATAAAAATATCGGTTCGGTTCGAACCTCTAAAAACCGGTTTGAACACATTTGTATTCAAACCTACATTAGGATTATGTATCAGGAAAAAAAAATTTTTATTTCATAATTAAAATAAAAACCTTCATTTTTATTAATTGCACAAATATAACAAATAAATATATCAATGATTAATTTAAATATGAACAATTACTTAGATTTTTTTATTACTAAGCTGCACAATTAATATATTTTTAAAATTCGTCTCACTCAAATTACATCTATAAGGAGATAATATAAATTTAATTTTTGAAAAACATCCTTCGACACTAACTTGGGTAGCTGGCATTGCCAGTATGATATCAGATTTGATGTGTCATTTATAATACTATATGTAAAAATTTATATATTAGATTAAATTTTTTTCTAGGCATTATAATTTATAAGCTTAAAATATTTATAAAATATTGCAAAATGGCAATATTTTAAAGTTTATAAAAATTATGACTGACGTTTATCAATCAAATGTGATTGATAATAATTTTTAAAACAATTTGAATATAATTAAAATTTTTACAATATACTACTAGTAATAACTTACACATTATTTTATAAGCATAAAATTATGAGACTCGAACCGGTTCAGAGGCATTTTAGCGGTTCGGTTCAGGTTCGGCTAGGAATTTTTTAGAGGTTTAGGTTCGGTTTGGATCCCTGGTATTAGATGTTGATGAAGTATGATAGCAGGGGAGTCTTAACAGAGGACCTTGGGTTCTCCCAAGATAAAAATACACAGGTCCCGTTATATATTTTTTTTCTAAAAAATTATTGTTTTACATTGACACATAGTTTTGTTAAAAACCTCTATTTAGGCCAGAGACCTTCATGAGCCTTAATTTTTTGACCAAGCCCGCCCCAGGCCCGAGTAAAAAAATTTTTTAGGTCCAAGCCCGGTCCGGCCCATATCTAATGTTAAAAAAAATTCCCAAGCCCATGATAAGTTTCAAAAAAAATTCACAAACCCGGCCCAAGCCCATATCCACAAATTTAATTTTTTTTCATTTAATGAAAATAATATTTAAGTATATTTAGGCAATCATTTTGTTTACAATACTGAAATTTATTATTATTAGAAGGAAAAAAGGCAATATTTCTTTAAATTAGCAACTGTTTAAAAAATAATCTAAATTTAAATTTAATAATTTTAGGCCCAAACCCAGCTCAAGCTCATTAAAAAAAATTAAAAATCCAGGCCCGGCCCAGGCCCGCTAGAAAGTTTAATATTAGACCCATACCCGGCCCATGAAGGTCTATGATTTAGGCCCTTTTTAATAAATGGCTAAATTAAGATTTTAGCCAAGAAAAAATATTTTTCGAGATTTTATCAAAAGACGACTAAACGTTTCCGCCATAGCTGCCGATCCTCAAAAAAGAATCACCGCTAATGTAGCGAGCTACTTTCAGCAGCTACTTTAACAGTATTGAGTTGAAACTAAGTTTAAAAGGATACATTGCAAGTTATGATAGATTTCAAGTTTGAAATGATCCTTTATGAGGCAAATTGCTATAAAAATATGTAAATAGCTAATTTATGTATATAATATTCGCTCATTTTTTATAATTTGAATTTATACCTTTTAATTTAATTCCATATAAAAAGCATGCACTAAAAATCGAAAATTTAGTTTAGGGTTATGTGATGAATTTTATTTATTTTTGCAGGCCTTTGGCCAAGTTATGTATTTTTCAAAATTATTTTGGTTTTATTCTTTTTTATGTTTTCTTTTTAAAATATTTCAATCAAATATTAATTATTTTTACAATTATTAACTTATACTTATTTATTTTTATCATTTCCTGACAAAGCAATTATTTTTTTGCATTATTACTTTTCTCTTGTTCATAATTTTTTGCTACTAAAATTTATAATAAGTTGGGTTTATTTTGTATTAGCCATTATTTACCATTTCTTTTACTAGCCTATCTGTAGTGTTGTTAAACGGCTCACAAAATCTTCAGGCTTGCTTAATACTATTCTGGATGAAATATTGAGTTAGCCGTTTTTAAAAATCGGCTCAAAACGAGTCGTTTAAGAACACTACCTATCTGTTAGTTATCTTTGATTGAGTCACCCAAGGCGTATCCAGGAAATTCTTATGGGGGGGAGGGGGGGATTATCTGTTGTTTTTTCGACATCAATTTTATTGGAGGTCTCTATGTCCACTTATTGTAAGCATGACTAGATTATATTTTTATAAAAATAATTTTGGTTATTTTTTTCTAAAAATTTTGAATTATAGTCTTTATCTAACTTTTACTAATTTTTCTTTCAAATTCTTTTTTGAATAAATAATAATATAAATATTTTTCCTCATTGTAAAGGCGCCAGGCGTACCCAAGATTTTTCTAGGGGTGGGGGCACTATTAGGTAAGGTTTTTCCACATAAATTTTATTGGAGGTCTTTAGGTCCACTTATTGTAGACCTTTGGCTATTATAATTTTATAAAAAATAATTTTGGGTTTTCACTTATTTTTTTTTATCAAAATGCTTTTTTCGAAAAATTTTGAATTATGGTCATTATTTTAAAAAGTTATTAACTTTCACTCATTTTTGTTTCTAATTCTTCTTTATAGTAATATATTGTATACATTTTTAAGGGAATGGGGGATGTGTAGCGGGAAAATTTTTATTAGCTCAAAATGATATTTATGATAACAGATTAATTAGAATGGGGGGGGGGGCAGTTACGTGCCTGGAAGGGCTATATATAATAATTTGAAAAGCATATATTTATAGAATTAAAATATAAAATATTCATATTAACAATCATATATTTAAATTTCTGGCCCCATCTAGGTTTAAAAAAAATTTCGATGATACTTTTTTTTTAAAACATTAGTTATTTGGTGGCCAAGATCCATTTTAATTGTTTAAATTTTGGTCATTTTGTATGTATTTTGTTAATTTTTTCGTAGGAAAATCTAATTAACGAGATGATGATGTTTAAAATACCCATCATATACTTTTGAACTGATTAGTTGAAACAATGTTAATTTATTGTAATAAATCTCAAAACCTGACCCAGCTTTGAAATTTTTTATTTATTTTTGGGTCAAGCTCTGTCAAGATTTTTAATATTATTTTAAAACCCCTCCCAAATACCCCGAGCTCAGGAATATCCAGTCGAATTTTAGTAAGGTTCTTCTGGTCTCTAATATAAATTTAGTTATTAATTCCAAAGAGACTAGAATAATGCAGGTTATTATAAAATTTATTAAAGATAATATTTAGTCATTAATTTAAAAATAATTTCTTTGTGGATTTCTCATTTTATACATTTTAACATGGGTATTGTAGAAAACAAGATTTTGTACCTAGAAATAAAATAGAAGAAAAATAAAATTAAACACAAATTCTAATTTCTTTATATTATATATAAAATTAATCCAATATAAATTAACATAAAAGGAAAAATTAACAAAAATTAAAAGAAAAATAAAATTAATATAAGAAAAAGCAAAAGTATAGGTGAAAAATAAAAGAAGTGCATTCTTCCAAAAAAATGAAAGAAAAACCATAACAAACACTCATTTACATAGTGTTTAAACAACAAACTTAAATAATCTTGTTGAACTTTATCTATCTGGATAAATCTTTTTTATTCATTTTTCTTACTCATTTGAATATTACAACAGGTATAATAGAAACTAGGGACAAGAATAAATGCTTAAATTTTTATGGAGGATACAAATAGTAGGAGAGATCAGGGTAAGTTAGCGCAGATTTTGTTCAAAATTTTAATAGGCTAAAAAATTATTATCATATCCGATTTTACAGTTATGATAGCTTCTATTATCACTTATAATAATAAATTAACAAAATTCTTCTTTAATTACACTTTTTCTTAAAATCAATTTAAAATAAAAATAAATTTTTGCCTCAACTAATTCAAAACTGTGGGGCCTGTAAAATCATTGCCGGAGCTAGTCAAAAAGTATTTGTTAAGCCTCATTTAAAATTATTAATATTTTGGTACGCAATATTTTATTGATATAGTATTAGAAGTCGAGTTCAAGAATTTTACATGAATAAAAATGACATATTACTATAATAATTTTAATTTTTAGAATTAAAAAAAAATGTATTATTATTTATCCTAAGTAGCATTGTTCATCTATAATACCCATCTCCAACTCTACTAGTCCTTAAGTTACTAATATAATTAATATCTAATTTTCTAAAATAAATCTATTTAAATCTAGTCGATACATTTTTTAATAAACTTTTTTAGATAGCTAAGGGCTATAAACTATTTTTATTGTAATAGAATGCTAATATAGAACCAAATTTTAATTTCTAAATATTCTTTTAAAATTAAACCCACTAAACTGGGAAATCCTTTGCACTGACTAACTTCAGCCTTGATAATGGATCAAATCCTAGTCTCATTCTTTTTTTAAAAAAAGTCAAAGTTTACTCCAACAACAACGATTTGTTCAATATAAATTTACTTAATTATAGTAAGTTATGTGAAATATGAAAACTGTATATTGATATTTAAGAAAATAACAAATTTTTTACTGAATATATATAATATACAAAAAACATATTTTAACTCTTATATGTATTTCAAGAAAGATTATGGGAGACCTCCAAATGCCCCGATGGCAATTATAAAGGTTGCGAACAAACTTGCATGACAAACCCTAAATCTCAAGGCTTTAATAAATATGAATGTCATTGTGAACCTGGTTATACCCTCAATCAATCAAACACTAATTCTTGTTTACTTGATTATCCTTCAGAGGAATATCTTGTAGCAATAAACTCCGTCAAAGACACCATCCTAATTTTGAATCTAAGTCATTTTGATTTCCAAGACGCGGTACCGATCAATGAGAGTATGGTGTACAAAATAAATGGTGGTCATTATATTAGCGCAATGGACATAGATTTTGCCAATAATAGGCTTTATTGGTCCGATGGTATAGCTAAAGAGATTCAAAGTGGTCTTATATTACATGGGAAGGAAAATATTGAAGCTGATAATATTTTAAGGCCCTTGAATGACTATAGTACAAATTATATTTGATTTTTTAAATTTAAAGTCACATTTAATTTTCAATTTAAAAGGAATTTTTTCTAAATATTTAAAGTTAAAGTTAATATATAATTTTACAATTTGGAAAAGTTCTATTTTCAGCATTTTCCCATGCCTTCTTTTATCTGACGTTATTTAAATGCTAAATAAAGAATAGTATGTTAGATGGCTACACTTGTAATTCTTTATAATTGTTTTTTTTTCATTGAAAAATAAATGTCTTTATAATTAGCTATTGGAAGAAAAAAAGATATGTCTGCCTAAATGTAGTATTTCTTTAAAAATAAAAAAGCACTATTCATTTTTTAGATTTGAAGTTTAAAGCATAACATGTTTTCATCATATCAATATAATATCATGAAATTTTTTTATATATGTGTATTATTTTAAAGCCGCTAATGTTAGTGGTATAGCTGTGGATACAGCAGCTCAACTGATATATTATGCTGAAAGATATGTTAACACGATTAATGTTATGAAAACCGACGGGAAGTTTCATAAAGTTTTGTTGCAATTCCATGACAATATTGAGTTCTTAGCACTTTCAACTAAATTTGGGTGAATATTAATTTTTGTAATAACATAGATGGTCAATGAATTAACAAATATAATGTATATTTAATAATAAGTCATTAAATAAAAAATTTATTTAATATAAGAATTATAGCTTGGTCCCAAGAAAAAGTATTTTCATGGATAAAATTGAATACTGGAATACATATAGCTAATTGTGATGGAACAGATGATAAGTTAGTAGCCAAAGTATCAAATACTGTAATTGCCCTAGCTATTGATGAAACGGGTATTATAATGATAATTGCATGGTTTTATTATGAAAGTTGCTTGAATTATAACTTTATCAGACTTATATAAATTAAAATTTTGGTTTTTAAATTATATAGTAAATATGGTATGGACATATTTTACATTGTTAAAAAATACTTTTCAAAAAATTGTGGCATTAATATTTAGTAGAGACATCCAGAGGTACCATTTTCACAGACTAACCCGGCCCGGTTTTTTTTCAATAATTTTTTCGACCCGGCCCAACTTTTTTTTAAAACAATTTTCAGGCCCGGCCCGGATTTTTTAAAAATATATTATATTTCTTTTTGATTTTTTCAACTAATAATATTTCAAATATTTGGTTTTAAAATATGGCCCGGCCTGGATATTTTTAAAAAAATTTTAGTCCCGGCCCGGGTATATTTAAAAAATTAAAATACGGCCCGGCCTGGGTAGCTTAGGGCCTACCTGCAGGTCTCTGAGAATTATCAGAGACCTGCAGAGATACTATTTTAACAGCCCGGCCCCAGATTTTTTTAAAAAAAAAAATTTGACCCGGCTTTTTTTAAAAATGTATTATATTTATTTTTGATTATTATAGCTAATAATGGTGATTTCTAATATTAGTTTTTAACGGCTATTTTTTTTAAAAAAAAATTTCAGCCCGACCCAGGTACCCGAGCCGGGCTTAGAGCCGGCCTGCAGGTCTCTGAATTTTATAAAAAAAAGTATCGTTATCTGTATTTATACACTATTTTAGAGGCATCAGTATCTACTTTTGGATATTTTTATGCATGTTGTTAAAATTATATTTTTATGCTTCCTTATATTAAATTATAATATTTCAATTATATTCTTTTAATAATATGTCCTAGACACATTTTATTTTACGCAATGGATGACAACATGGTAAATTTTATGTTATAATTTATTTTATAATTTAAAAAAATATATATCACAATGTTTAGATCAATATTTCTAGGCAATCTCTGAAAAGAAATCAAATAATTTAATATTAGTTTTTTGGGCACCCCTTAGATGGTATAAATCAGGGATGTGAACCCTTCAACAAAAAAAAAGGGTCCGGGTTCGGGTCCTGTAATAAATTTTTAAAGGACCCGGGTCCAGGGTTCGGGTCCGGGTCCAGGGAACATAAAAATAATGACTCAAAATAAGACTTTATTTTCATTCATTTTTATTATACTTCAATATATATACACATTCATATTTCAAAATGAAATAATTTAAATTTTAAATATTTTATTCAATCGAACGATCATAATATCTTCTAAAATATCATCCTTGAGATTTCCACATAAATTAGACAATATGTATTTCAAAGAAGAAAATCCACGTTCTACGCTGACCTAAAATAGATAGTTATCTTTATAATATATAAATTATTGTACCTGTGTCGCCGGTACAGCCATGACGAATCTAGACAAGGTATACAATTCAGGATATATTAGAGAATTTTCCTCCCAGAATGTTAAAATATTTTTATCCCTATTAATTCTCTTAACTTCTGAGAATTTTTTCAATTAAAGATACAATCGATATTTTTTTCACCTTTCTATCTGATCCTGATGATAATTTTATTTTTTTTTCTCTATCTAATAATAAAATTTCGAGATCGTCAATATTACTATCATCATTACTATCACTACAACCATTAGATGTTGAAGCCTCCAATATATTGTTAATAATAGAGTTATGGTTATGCCATAAATCGTCGAGATGGTCTATTGCCATTTGCTTTTGCTCAATACTTAATAGAACTTGATATCGAGGATCTAAATATATTGAGGCATACACAACACTATTTTTAAAATATTGTTGCTCTCGTATTTTCATGTTTTCTAATATTTCGTATGAAAAGGAACTTGTAAATTTTTCTAATTCTAATCGACATCTCACCCATATGCCATAAAAATCGGATAAACACAACTGTTCTGACTGCAATCATAATGTAGTAATTTTCAAAGGAACCAACACCCTAGTAAGGTCTTTGATTTGATTTCAATCATCCTCTGACAAAATGATTTCACATGATCCTATAATAAAATCATCACAGAAATCTTTTAAACTTATTAATCGCTCTAGCATCATAAAGATAGAGGACCAACGGGTTGTGCAATCTAATATTGCCATTTGCCTTTCATGGATTTTAATATTCGTACAATTGTAGGAGTTCTTAAATATTTTGCAACATCCCTTGCTTTGTCAATTATAGTTTTAAAGATATTATTTTTGAGGGAATCATTAATAGCTAATTGTAGTGTGTGGGCTGCACATCTGATACAGTATAGTGGAAAAATCTTTTATTATCTCCGGTATGTCAAATTCACTTATGTCCTCAAAATTATTATCATCATTATTTATATCTATATCATCCATTTCGTCCAATGAACATTCATTTAATAATTTAATAGATTTGACTAGATTAGCACCATTATCCGTAGTAATGGTATAAACGTTTCTTAAAGGAATATGGAATTTATTTAAAGTTTCTATTATCATTCTTTTTATATTTTCAGAAGTTGAACTTTCTTTAATCTCCTTCATTGCTAAATTTCTTAAGATTATAATATTTCCTTTAATATATTGTATATTTATTCCTAAAATATTTTTCCCTAATCTTTGGGCGGAATCCATTTTTAATGAAATTAATTTGTTTTTTGTTTCTTTTATAATTTTTGCTTGCATTTTTTTCGATTCATCAACCACTAAGTCCTTAATAAACGGTTAATTGATGTTCCAATTGCCTTACTAATAGGATCAATAATTTTTTTAAACCGGAATCCTCAATAATATTGAAAGGTCTTCCATTTATTGTAACAAGCTCAACTAAAGCATTCATCAAATTCTCCTCAGACATTTGAATATGAATGCTTTTTTTTAGGCAAAAAGCATATTAATAAATTTACATAATAAAATATTATTACTTACACTAGAAAATAATTTATGGTATCAATCTCTAAATAAAATGAAATGAAGTTTAGGAAGAAAATCAAAAGAAAAGCGCGAATATAAAATAAATGATTCCACGAAAAAAATTAATAAAATTATAAAAATTTTATATTATTTTTTAAAAATGATATTTTTACATTATTTAAAAAAAAAAATTTATATGTTAAAATTTTTACCCTGAACCCTTGAACCCTCCACTTTTTAAAAGGGTTTGGGTCCGGGTTCGGGTTCAGCCAAAATACGAGGGTTCAGAGGGTTCAGGGTCCGGGTCCGGGTTCACATCCCTGGTATAAATTAAATATTGATTTAATTTTTTACACTCATCAAATTTTGAATAATTTTTTCAAAAATGATTGTCTCTTAATATGTTTAATGATTATACCAATATAAAGCTGCTATTCAATAAATATAACAACCACTCTGTCATTGAGCCCCAATAGAATGAGTTTAGTGTGGGCAAAAATACGGAAACTGGGTAGCTAAATGACAAAAATTTCTAGAATGTTTTATTATTAAAATCTAACAATTATCTATAATCATTTAATTATATATTTTGTAGACATCTGCAGGCCCTTACACCGGTACACGGGGCCATATTTTAATTTTTTTTAAATATACCCAGGAGGAGCCTAAATTTTTTTTAAACAGGGGGGCCGAAAATTATTTTTTAAAACTTGTCCGGGCCAGGCCGTGTAAATGGTACCTCTACAGGTCTCTGATATTTTGTATAAGAATTATTAAAATCTAATAACCACAATATTAAATATATTATTGAATATAGATGTGATATTAGCTCAATAAAATTTTTGGTTCACTTCGAAATTTGAATTTTAACAATAGAATCCTTAATCATTATTCACACCTTACATAAGTATAAGGAAGAAATTTACCTGTATCTGGATACATATATAAAATGGTATCTGTATCTAGATACGTTTTTAAACGATGCATTTGTATCTAGATGATCTGTTTGAAAAGTGGAGTTTTCTATTTATTTATTATTTAATTTTTCGTTCAAACTTCTACTGACTTAACTTCGTATCTGAGTCTCCAATATATTCCGGATTCTTGAAACCGTTCCTAGAATAATAAATTATCTAAATGGGATTTACGCCCTAACATTCATAAAGGAATTTGAAACAGAACAACTTCTTCAGAAACTGTAAGAAAACGAGAAACCCTCCCTCCCCCATTGTAGCGGTGAAAAATATTTTTTTAGCAAATTATATGTTGATGCAATTTTATATTGAAGTCCATAAACTATTCCTTGACTTTGGCCATCCACGAGATAAGTTACAACTTCGCCTTCGGAAACGCGCACCCTTGGAAGTTTTAACAACTCTTATAGATTTAAATATAGATAAAAAAAATTATTAAATACATGTCAAAATTAAAAATTTATTGCTACTTAAATTTTAAACAATTTTTATTCAATTTAATATTTTATTTATATATGAAATATATAAATATAAAATATTATTTCCAGCTTCATAAAAATTCTAAAAGTTTTTATCAATGAAACATTCTGATAAATCCTTGTTTTTAACCATACAAAGTATTTATTGCACTGGAAGGTAATGTTGTGCCATACTTTATAAATAACACTCAGTTGCATATTTAAGGGACCATTTTTGCGAAATAAACGGGTCTATATAGTAGTAAATAAAATACAAATGCTTCAAGAAAAATATATGTTGCGATTTTCAGTTTATGATTAGCGAAATTCCATCACATTGATTTTATCAAAATCTGTATAAATATCATCCTCAACTCATTTTTATTCCTAACACCATGTAAAACATTGGATAATTTCCTGGTATACAAAGTAAGAGGTTGACTACATTTTCATACTGGCCCACTCATTGGGGAAGACTGATAGGTTGGGGCACTTTTTATCTAAACCTGAGTTATTTAACCATTCAATTAATCTGAATAAATAAAACATAATCTGAAACCTTTAAACATAGTAAACTATTTAATATATGTTGATTAACACATGCTATTTTTGCACTACAAAAAAAACATAAATCTAGGTATAATTTTTTTTTTGATATTTTGGTATTGACAAGATTTAAAATATATTAAATAATTAATTGATAAAATTTTGATAAGTAATAGTTAAGTAGATAAAATTTTATTTGGATTTTTAGAAATTTTTAAAGATTTTTCTAAAAATTAATAAGTTACAATCATTTGAGAATCTATTTGCGTAATTAATTGAAAAACTACCCAAAAGATCATTATATAATAATAAAATTGATGTTTTAGATTGATTTATTTACAAAATATTTACATTTGTTTAAAATGTCAATAAAATATAAATATGTTATAATAGGACTATTGTTCCTTGTACTAACCATAAAATGCTCTCTAATTTTATATATGATATTTGGAATTATACTAGTTCATGTTTTATAACTCTGAAAAATTATCTGATATAAAAATAGGGTTTAAACTTCCTAATTTATTTATTGAAATTTTAAATGCTATATTGAATTTAAACGATAAAGTTTATATTTATTTTATATTACTAGTGATATGCTAAAATAAAACACATATAACTTTTGTAAAAATTTTAAAAAAAAATCATTTTAATTTTTTTAAAATAATTATGTACAGTAAAATTAGATATAAGAGGCTTAATTTCTACTTTTATATCATAATGTCTTACTAAATTGAAGAAACTAACGTGCCCCAGAATCTCCTACTTTTGGGATCTTATCGTAACTATAAAGAATATTAGACTAAAGGTAAAATACTGTATATAAAAATTCAGAATAAAATCAAAAATTTAGTTCCGTTAATTTGATTTGGTAAGCGGAAAATAATTCCCAGGAAAAAAGTCCCCTGGAAAATAATTCCTCAGTAAAATAATTCCAGGAAAAAATATCCCCTATAAAATAATTCCAAGGAAAAAAAATCCTAGGAACCCGAAAAAAAATTCCCCTGGAAAAATTTCCCCGAAAAAAGATTTCCCATTTTTTAGATTTTAAATTTAATATAGGGGAAATCCCTGGAAAAACAAAACCGGAAAAAAATTACCTGAATAATTTTTTTTAAATTATCAAAAATAACCCTGCCGATTAAATAACGAAAATATTTCTAAAAAATTAAGTATTTGAAAGTTGAGTATTTATTTTTGACGTTTGTGAATTTTTTTTGAGCATTAATTCTGTTTTAATTCTAAGCGATAAAGTGCAATCTTAAAATATAAGAATTGATAAATCGATTGGTAGCTTTGATACTTTATAACTTAGTAGATAGCATAAAAGTATAGATTGTGACATCTTGGAAAGAAAACATGATAGATTTTTATAGAAATAGATAAAAATTATGGTTGTAATTTAAAACTGAAAAAAATGAAAACAAATTTTTTTCTAGAAAGAAGGAGATTATTTCCATAATCTAATTTTCACCTGGATTTCAATAGATATTATGAAAACAAATCATTTAACCACATTAAATTTACCATAAAGAGGGGGGTGGGGGGGGGGGGGTATTTTAACCCACACGCCACTATGGTTATAAAGATATATATAACATTAAAAATATTAGAAAACTATTCTGTTACGTACGTTTATATCAGTCTGAATCCCAGGACATAGAACACAATATATTTTATATTCTAAAAATTATCAGCAAAAGACTTCATATATTACATAACAAAATTGTTGAAGGCAATGAATGATTTAAATTTTTAATATATTTCTAAAAACTTCATGGAAATGATATAATTTGTGTATAAATAAATATTTTTTTATAATAAATATTATTTATAATAAAAAAAATTTTAAATAAATCTAAAAGTTGATGAAAATAGGTGAACTAGATTTATTTAACTTTCGTTTTATTATTTAAAACCTCAAATCTTCTAGGGAATTTGAATTTAAAAAACATTTTAATTTAATTAAAGCACTGTGCACGGGTCAAAAAATGATATGAATTTATAAATCTGGGCTAAAATAAAAAAATCTGGGTTAGCCATTATCATTACTTAGCTTATAATAATATTTTGCCTAATATCACATATACTAGGTATACAATTCATTTATTTTACAAGTATTGTTTTGTTTAATTTTCACCAAACCTGGATTCGGAATATGGCCATAACATTATATATTGGTTAGGATTAATTAATAATAATTTAATTTGGTTAGGTTTAATATTAATACCTAGTTATTATTCATAATTTTGTTTAACAATTTATCTAGGAAATTTTTATTTAGAAAAATTTTAAGGAATTTTTGTTGATTTTCTCAAAAATTTTACATATTTTATTTGGGGATTTTTTTTCCGGGGATTTTTTTCCCATTTATTTATTTTCTAAAAATGATTTTATATTTTATAGGGATCAAAAAATAGGGGAATTATTTTCCGGGGTAATTTTTTCCGGGGAATAATTTTCCGTGGGAAATTTTTTCCGGGATATTACTTTCTGGGATTTTTTTTTTCCGGGGAATTATTTTCCTAGATTTATTTGACTTGATTGAACGTGATAATTGGGAGCTAAGCTAAAAATAACTTTAGTTAATCTCAAGTAAGTGAAATTATATAAATTAGCCATCAAAATTAGTCTAGTCAGTTAAAAGAAAAGTAGGAATTTTGTGTAAGAATCTTTCAATTTTTGGGGGAGATTTTTTGATGATCCATTTTGGAAAATAAAATTTTGTTTTAATTGTAAAAAATATATTTTGACAGATTATTAATATCATGCAAAAAAATAGTATAAAAATTTATATAATAAAAGGTAAAATGGTAGCAGAATGTATCTAATAATCGCTAAATTACTCCTAAATTATATCTAAAGAAGTTACAAACACAACATTTAATTATCAAGATTCAATCTATAACAACTCCGATTGTTTATCTTTATTAGTATTTTCTTACCTTTTTCAAACGATAATTTAATTAAGGTGACATAGCAACCATTTATTGGATCCACAATTTAGCTATCGAATTCATCACTATAGGATCCGAAATGAAAACTATCAGGGAAGGGTTGGACATCTATTATCCCCTTGGTTTAGTCATTGACCCGCACAGATTATACTGGAGTTCTACCAATTTCGAAAATACTAAGGAAGCAAACATTTATGTTGCACCATTGAATACGCCTAACATAGCACACAAACTAATTGTCAAAGAACAGGCAGCCAATTATAATAATTTGAAAATCTCTTACAAAGCAACATCTCAGCTAGAGAAATCATCAGAAAAATGTTCTAAGTGTCAACAACTATGCCTTTCCTCTTCCAAGGTTGTGGGGAAAAGGGTCTGCGGATGCGGGGATGGCTTTATACTGAATGCTACCGATAATGTAACATGTGTCACAAGTATATTAACATTTTATTACAAGTATATTTATTTATAAACTAAACGAAACGCCTTTAATTTAAAATAATATATGCATTGAGTTTAATTTGAACCTATAAATATAAATTTTTGTTTTTTTCAATTTTTAATTATTAAACATTCCTACAGGCGCTTAGTCAGCAGGGGAGGAGGGGAGAATACCTCCCCTTGTAGTAAAAATTTTGAAAAAATATGTAAGATTTACATGAATTGTGAATGGTAAAAATTCTATTTCAAATAGGCTATATTCTATTTTAAATTTAAAAAAGATAAAATTTATTTTAGTATTGTATTCATTTTATCCTAGGAAAATATATATTATATTTTCTTACATTTTATAAACTTTATTTTATCAAAGGAAAAAATTATATTTAATTTATCATTAATGATTAGGCAACATTTCTAGACTGAAATGTTTAATTTGCTGAATAGAATAATTTATGAATTTTTTGTGCTACAAGAGGAGGAAACTGCAGCAAACCCTACATGGTGCCTTCGACATCAAGCGGTTACAGTATTTTTGGGTCTAAAAGAACCTATTTGAATGCCCTTAAAAATTTTAGAATGGCTTGACAGATATTTTATCTGAAAAGAATCATTACTACATTCAGTCGAATTTTTTAGAAATGGAATGTATTACTAAGTTATTTAATTACACTACGGCTTAGGCTATGAGAATCACTAATATTTTTAAATTAACATGTTACTAGATTTATGTGATTGTTAAAAGCAAAATGATCCGCTCTTGAGATTTGCAGATCCTTGTCTTGCACATACAAACAAATGGTTTCAACATTAACCTGGATTGAATTGAGGATTACTATTAAATAACCCTCGTTATTTTTTTGATACATTTTTGCAATTCAATGAACGATTTGGGATTTATCAAAAGGCTCTATCCACTTCACAAATACTATATCTATCCTTCTGAGGATATATTAAATAATGCCATTAATAAATTAAATATTTAGATAAATTTTATTCAGAGGACAGAAATATATCTGAAGGCCTATTAATTTCAGGATTTAAATCTTGGTATAAAAAATTAATTTTAGTAGATAATCATCCAAGGAAGCATTACTTTTTTATAAAATATATTTTGGGTTTTTCCCAAATATATTAAAATTACTGTATATTTTGACAACAATACCAATTAGTAAAAGCACAAATGACGATTTTTTCTTCATTACGAAGAATAAAAACATATCTCAAAAGTACGACATCTTAAAATTGATTGTGTGAGGCTAGCTTTACTTAATATACATCGAGATTAATCTCTATTCAGAACAAATTATTAAAAGATTGGCGCAATAGCAAAGATTAAATTTTCATTTATGAACGATATTTCGATTAACTCTTTTTAAATCATGTATAATCGATATTTTACTGTGATTTACAAATCGATTATACTCTAATATTTTGTAACAATATACTATTCGCTCTTAAATATTCTGTATTTTCTAATATTTATTATTCGTTCGAAATTTTTAATAATTATAATAAATTTTATATTGATTAGTTCTGATAAATTTTTAATGCTCCAAAATAAATTATTTCAAATATATAAAAAATTATTTCCCCCCACCCCTCCTCTGAAAATTCCTGACTAAGTGCCTACATTTTTTTAAAATTATAATGCCCAAAATTTCTTTACATTTTCTATTTTTGCGTTCCGCTTAAATGTTAGTAAAAATGTATCATTCTCATTTATTAAATAAAGAAAAACTTTTCCACAATATGTGCCAAATTTAAGGGTAAAATTAAACCATGCTATATACATTAATTTTTAATAAATTTATTTTTTTTAGGGGAAAATTATGGCATTTACATATATATATTACTGAATGTTTGTTTAGCACTCGAGAATGCTCCCCTCTCCCCCAAAAAAAATTTATTAAATAAATAATTCTAAAAGGTGTAAATTAGACATATTATCTATTTTCATTTAAAAATCTTAGTCTGATTTTTTAAAATCAGAACTTGATTTGATTATTAAAACCTCTACCTCTGGAATTTAGGATGGAGTGAGATATCATACTCCAACAACATGGTTGAAAGAACTTTGTACAACCAACTTATTATCTTCAATTGCCCAGAGAATTTTATTAATACCTCCTACTAATGCTTCATCAAAACGTATATGATCATATTGGAAGCACACACTCTAAACAAAGAAATAGGTTAGAAAATACAAAGATAGAAATGTTGGTTTCAATTCAGTGTTAACTTATAATAATAAATCAGCATTTGTCCTCAAATACTCAAAGTATAAACAATAAACTTATGGAAGAAAATAGTTTATCAGAGATTGGAATTTCAAAATGATAATGGCGTTGAAAGGGTTGATGATAGTACTAGTGAAATCGAGTTTGGGCAATGTATTTTACTAAACATTTAATGCTTATTCTCATTATATTTATTATTTGCATTATGATTTATCGCTTTATTACTTGAATATAATAAAATATAGTATAAAATTGAAAATTGTTGGTTATTTAAGCAATATCATTAATTTCCGTTAAATCCCGTTTATTACCAAATTTTCATCACAATAAAAATTACAGTGAATTTTTCAACACTACTTGCATATATATATCCTCACATATAAATTTTGTTAATGATATTTTTTGCTAATAAAAATTAATGGTAAGTTGCAAGTTCCATCATTAAATTCCTTATATAGTTTTCCAATATTTTTTTATATCTTACGTGTCTTTTTCTATTATTGCATCCGCCTACACCTATTATTTCCAATTGGGCTTAATCTGCTTCGATTTTGCTTCGCATCTTTTGAATGAGAACCCATATAAGACGATGATTGAATTTCATAAGATTAAAACGGCAATTATTCCAACCTTCAAAGCCGTTATTTGTCTTATCTTTTTTGATAAAGTATTTTCTTATATATTATGTTTCAGGGAAATATTTTAATCGAATACGATATATGTACACAGTTGAGTAGAACCATTATCAGTTATGGGCCAGATAAATCTTTATACATCATTATTTAATAAAAATTGTAAAGATCTGTCTGTTACAAAAAAATATAATTCTCTTCGATAAGAAAAATATGATAGAAAAAAAACATAAAATTTTCTGATCTGCAATTTTTCCAATCACCTTAAATTTAATTTTAATTACTTCCAATCATCCAATTTTGCATATGAGAAATTGGAGCCAATTTTTTTGACCAATTGTCTGCGGGACAGTCTTCTGTTTACTATATAAATTATATACGAACAATTCAAGCTTAGCTTTTTATACCTGCATCATACAAGATTGAAAATAGGTAATTAAGTTTTTAAAATAATATAACTTTATATATATTTTAGGATTATAGTTTTAAAGTAATTGAATTACCTTTGATATTTATAATATAATATATATATAACTCTCCACGATAAATATTTTTCTTATTAATCAAGAATTTTCAGACTTTGAAGAAGTCACATAGTGAATAGAGGTGTTTTTTAAAGCATAATGTTTTTTCACCATCTTTTGTATATTGAAAGGGGCACTATATTTTTGAAAAGAGGCACTGTATGTCTAAAAAAAGGTGAGTATATGCTTAAAAAAGCTACATACGAATTAATTAAATAGTTTTAAAAATAGTATAATAATAATTTGTATATTAAATTGAGGCAGAGTTTTATTTAAAAAATTATATCAATAAATAGGGAATTATTATTTTCTGAATAAATAAAAGATATATATTTGTTTAATTACATTCAAAATTAATATTTACTTACATGTCTCAACTCTTATAAAATTTGTGATTGACACTTCATAAAGAATACATAAAAAAAATTTAAGGAAAACCAATCAATGATTTTTTGGTGGTAGTGGATGGTCAACTTAAGAAGATTTTTATAGTAAATCTAAATGATCCTAAGTTCTTTGAAGCCCTGCCCATTAATACCAGCGAACGACCAGTCGCTATTCGATATGATCCTTTAGCCAAAAACTTTATATGGTCAGATATAGGAAATCACAATTTTCAATATGCAAGCGCCATAAAGTTTGTCGACTTTAATGATAATAATGGAGAAAAGAAAGAACAATATATCAGATACAATGATCAAAAGGATTTGTTAATACCAAAGATTTTAAGAGATCAGCGAAATAAAGGTTGAACTATAAAAAAATTGGTCTATTTTTCTTTCTTTCTTTCCTCTCATTTTATTTCTTTTCCTTCGCCCTTACTTTGCCTTCATTCAAATCTCTACTACTTTAAATCTCTTTAATTAATTAGAAAGCCTAACCGATGGAATAGCTCTAGAACCAATTAGAAGACTACTTTATTATACAGATTCTCAAAATGGAGCTATAGGAGTTTATGACTTAGAAGGAGTATATCATAAATATTTGATATCAAATGGACTGAGCAGGCCTAGATCTATTGTAATCAATAGAATCAAAGGGTATATAATTATAATAAATTCCCTTTTTTTTCTTTTAGTTTCATGATATTTTTATTTTATAACTTTAAAATTTTCACTAACTTTCTTTCATTAAATTTTTATTTATTTTTATTATAATCATAAGCTACATATTTTGGAGTGAGTGGGGTAAAATTCCTAAAATTGAAAGGGCCACTATGGCTGGCACCGAACGCAAAGTGATTGTAACTGAATACATTTATTGGCCTAATGGATTAGTTAGTGATGAAAAAGGTTATTTGTGATATATTTGAATTTAAAAAAAAAACATCTTATTGGTCCTAAAAATCTACTCAAAAAATTGTCGTCAGAATTAGGGGGTTGGAGTTAGATTTCAATAGATATTAATTTAGAAAATATAAAGTAGACTGAATGGTTGGATCAAATGATTGAATTGAAAGACTTTCACAAAATCAAGGTTTTTTTTGCAAATTTAGGAACTCCAAAAGAAAAATATATTATTAAAAAGTTACTATACTTCAATAAAGAATAAAAAATTTTATTTTTATCTAATTAAATAAATTTAAAAAGTATATAAATCAAGAATATAGATATATCATTATCATGTTATATCAAATTTAAATATTTTGGGATTACAAACAACGATTAATAATTTGCGACTAAATCAAACCAAAATAAACCTTTAAACATTTAAACGGTATAATTCATCTATCCAATTAATAGTAAACACCGATGCATATAAAAACACTGGGCATTTTACAACACTTTATTTTATTTTAAAAATTTCAAAGTTAAGAGAATTAACATCATATAATTATAATATAAATGTATGACAAAAACATAATATCTCGATATCAGAATCTTATGACTTTATTCTAATTATATTTGAGCAAAAAACATTATATATATTAAATTTGTCAAGTTTATATTATGATACATAAATTATTTAAAAGATGAAAGCTTAAACACTCTCTATCACAAAACCAGAGTTTGAACAAATTTTTTAGTTTTTTAAAAAGAAGAAAGATTTAGATCAAATTTTACCTTAAAATTCTAAATAAATATATTTTTTTAAAATTTTTTATAATAAATTTTTGCTAATTTTCGCGCAAAAAAATCTTTGAAGAGGAAATCACAAATTTTTGATTTTTTTTTTCCTAACTCTGCACATCATATAAATTTATTTACATGATAGAACATAAAATTATTGCTATTAGCATTTATAATTGCTAATATGATGGTGGTGGAAAGGTAAATTGAATTATATTATTTTATTTTTTCATAAAATATTAAAACTGTTTTACTTACAAAATATCTACTATATATAAAATTTAATATAATTGAATACATAAATCTTTTCTAAAATAAAATATAAAATTAGTTTTACAAAAATAGAATAAGAATAAGAGTATAACAATAAAAATTACAAAAATAAGAAAAAGAATAAGAGTATAAAAATAAAAGTTACAAAAATAAGAAATCAATACAAAGTTAATAGTTTTCATTATTCAAAAATAATGAATAAGTTAAGAGTATTCATATCTATCATTGATATTCCTGCCAATTTTTTCTTAAATTTAACCTGGTGAGATTTTATATTTTAAAAAACCATATTTATTTACATGAAAACATATTTATAAATTATTTGTATTTTACTTCCTTTCCAGTTATTTTGTAATAATAATTCTAAGTGTTCAAATGGGTCATGTTTCCTGTAACAACGTACCATTGATAAAATCTTAAAAATACTGCAAATAAAACATGTCATATAATCAACAATTTGGTAAACTTTGTAAAAAAAAATAACGATTATTTTAAAAATGAATAAGATATTAGTGATCTGCATCGGGCCTAATTTTTCAAGCCCGGCCCGGCCCGAAATTTTTTAAATATTTAAATTAATTTTTATAATTACTTAAAATAAAAGACATATGTTATATGTCAGTTTCAATAAATAAAATCAAATATTTTAATTTTACATAAAAAATTCAATATAAAAGTGATAAATTTAGATATATTTAAAAAAAATTCCAAGGTACGACCCGACCCGGCCAGAATTTTTTTTAAAAATATTAGGCCCAGCCCGGCCCGAACCCGATTATTTTAAATAAAATTAGGCCCGAGTCCGGGCCGGGCTTAACTTTGCAGATCTCTATAAGATATACAAGGCCAGCAGATCCTGGGCATATTTAAAACGGGACCAACTTAAAAAATTACAAAACTAGGTCGGGTTTAAAAATATCATTTTTAACAAATTTAAAAAAAAAAAAATACATTCCAATTATAATTAATGAGTTAGAAAATCATAATATGGATCATCTAACTATTTTTCTACTTATATTTTTAATCATCTTTGAAACAATACAGATAAAATTTTATAAGATAAAGATGATATAAAATCTTTTCCGGGGCAGTAAATGATAAAGATTTAAAGATACAAAATCTGGGCGCGATTAATTAAAAAAATATATTTAAAAAAAAATATATCGGGATTAGCCCTAAAATTTATTCTTTATACTATATAATGTTAGTCTCTGAGATAGACTAAGTAGGGTAAATAAAATTAACAATAAAGAAACCATAAAAACTATTGCAAAATATTCATTTTTGATATATATTTAAAATTTAAATAAAATGATAATTCTCAACTTTAACGTATATGTAATTTTTAAATGAATATTCTATTATTCAAATAAAATTAAATGATATTAAAACAACCTAATGAAAATTAAAATATATTGTGATATCTGATAATTTGTTAGCTTAATTGGCATAACCAAGGGGGAGGAGGAAATCCTCCATTCAAACTTTCACAAATATCATTAGCTAATACCCAAAAAATGAATAAAATAAATTCTGAATTAACAATTTTAAAATAATTACTAATATCGGAATTTTTGAGAAGGAAGTTTAATTTCTTAAAAACTAAAAACCCAATATATAAATATAATTCAGTCGAAATTCTTTAATAAACCTAAAGACATTTAATAAAATTTATAAAACCCCATCCAAAGTCCCCTCCCCCTCCCGAAAATCCTGGATATGTCGGTGGTATACCTAAAACTAATTATTCGTTTTTCGATATTCATTTTTATTCGATTTATATTTAACAAATATTTATAACAAAGTAATTCGATTCAAACTCAAGAATCGAATACGAATAATGCAAATATTTAATTTAAAAATACGAATCGAATACGAATAATTTATATATAATATTCGTTTTGAAAACACGAATCCAATACTAATAGTGTAAAAAGATTTATTCGATTCGTATTTTAGTAGGCAAAGCCATGTCAAACTTCCAATGTATTTTAACGTTTTTCTAATAATACTAATATACAAATATTTGAACATTCACAAAAATTTTGCAAAAAAGTTCTCGGTTTTTACCTTAGTATTCTAAAATAAAAGGTTTTGATAAAAAAGAAAAATTGTTTGAGGCCAAAACTTTCTGAAATCAGAAAGTAATACACTCAAATTACCAAACGCTTAGATTGAAAATTTGTCCCGAATTAACACTAAATATTCGATAATAAAAAGAGAACAAGCTTTTTTGGATAGATGCAAAGTTAGATGCTTTATTCACTTGCGATTATAATGGTGATAAAGTAGAAATGATTCTATACGTTCAAAATCATCCATTTGGATTGGCTGTAACATCCACAAATTTCTATTGGTCGGATTGGATGACCAACACCATTAGGAGTGTGTCTCGTGATTATCTTGGTTTGCAAGATTTAACCGACCCAAGTTTTGCACGCTTGTTAGACATTGATGCCTACGAAAATAGTGATTGGGTAAACAAATTACAAGAACTAGAGAACCTTAAATCATTTGACCTTCATGATGCATTATCAGATGGCTGTTTTGAGGGTTTTAATAATTCCACGCAAACTAAGGCTAAATCATTATGGATGAATAACGGAGGTTGCTCTCAGTTTTGCTTTCCGTTGCCAGGAAAAAAACGAGTATGTGGTTGTCGAGATGGAGAGATTCTGGGAGACAATGGTAAGTTTCATAATTATTTTACTGAATTAGATAATCCGCTTTTGCAGAAAAAAAAACATATTTTTGAAAGATTAGGTGTTAGCTCATTTCTAATATTTTGCTAACAAGATAAATGAAATAGAAAATACAAATCTATATTTTATTTTTTTCAAAGGAATGACATGTATGATCGAAGGGAAACCTTCACCTCGTAATTATATGAGGAGAGATATCAGCATTTATTTAGGGAAATCTGTAAAAGAAAGTCATGAATACGTTCCAGAATCACATTTATATGAAAGTGCGTTATGTTCTATCCATGATTTAAATACCCCGCCAAATTCGGTACAACTATTTCAGAACGCGTTACCCCAAAATGTGAATAAAGATAAAAAGAAACTAGAAGTTTACTATAAATGTGATGCCGGGTTTATTAAAACAGGGGGTGACGAGATGAGAATTTGCTATTTAAACTCAAATTTATCCTCAATTTACTGGACCGGCTCTGACTTGAAATGCGAGGGTATTCATTTTTTTTAACATAATATAAAGTAGAATTTTAAGTATCTATTTTTATTAGAGCCAAATTTTAATTGTCATTTATGGTTTGGTTTCTTTCATTATTAAGGCACAGGTCACCCGATTTAGAATCCAAGTTAAGTTAAAATATTTAATTGACCATTAAATTGTTATTATAATTAAGTCTTATATATGTGAAATAAAATAAAAAATATGACAGCTCTTAAATGCGATAACCTAAGTACTCCAATGAACGCTGAGAAGATCGTATGCAATAACAACACATATGATTCTCATTGTTACATGAAATGTAAGAAGGGATCAGATTACGTCAGCGGAGATGAAGTTAGAACTTGTCAGTTGAACGGAAAATGGTCTGGATCTCCTATTTTATGTCAAGGTCTTAAAATTATTTGTTTATTTATTTACAAAACTTTCCCTTACTTGGGATTATTTATTTTTGGCTATTATAGAGCTTGTATATGCTAAGGTAAGATTGGTCGCCATTTATTATTATTTCATTTTTTGGGATAAACGAATTTTTTTTAAATTATTTAATATTTAAAAAATGATAGGCAAATTTTATTTAAATTAATAACTTTGGGAGATAAGGTATTTTTATTAAAAATTTTAAATTTTATATAATAATTTCATTATTATTTGTTAAAATATTAAATGAATCAATTATTTTTAATTTAATATTCTCTTTCCATAATTCATTTTATTATCATTTTTCCCCATTTATTAATTTAAACTATATTGAGATACAAAAATATTTAAGGTTGTGAATACCCTATAATGGAGGATAATTTAAATATTACCATGGTTTCATGCCCTAAAGAACCGGCCCCTGGAAATTTGTGCAAATATAAATGCCTTCCCGGTTATGAAAGAGTTTCTGGTTCTAATGATATTTTATGCGATCCCATGACGCTTCAATGGAACGACACAATTTTGAAATGTGAAGGTGAGGCCAGATAGATATCATAAATCATCAAATTAAAAAAAATTTATTCAAAACTAAATTTAAAAGGAGGGGACAAATTAGCTTATAAAATATTTTTAAAAAATTTGCCCAATTTTAATTGATAAAACAAAGGTAAAATTACCCTATAAAGCACTTGCTCTCTTTTATTTAGTATTTGAATTTCGAAATATATGATTGTAAAACAAAAGTGATTTAATTGTATACATCATATATTATATATATTATATATAAAATATAACATTTTTGTCAACCTAAAGTTCAAGGAGTTACAACTACAATTAGGAGAGACCTAGCTATACAGCATGTGAGGTTTAAAAAAAGCTCTTTTTTATCTTTAGAGCTTATTGTTTCAGATTTGATCAAAAGATGGGGGGGGGGGGGGGTGTTTAGTAAATATTTTGGGGATGTAATATTGTTATTTAGTAAAAGGTGTCATAATTTAATATAACGCAACAATTGTCCTAAATGAGCATATCCTATATTGCAAGGAATTATCTATTCTTATATGTATCTTTATTGTTAAGACTATTATTTAAAAATATTTAAAATTTATTTTAATCTTGCATATTAATTATAAGAATATAAAAAATTTGGGGTTTTGTAGGTGAAATTCGATATTTGCCATCTTATCCCAAAGGGCGCCACTTTACTCAGGGTCGTTGATAAATAGTAAAAGACACAACCTTTACTTGATTCTAAATAGTGTCCAAGTATAGAATGTAGACACTCTGGTTTTTTTAAATTTATTTTGTAGTCTAAGATGGCTATTCAATTAAAAATTAGCCTAATCAAACACCTGCCATATAACCCCGGCCTCCCCTACTCTATTTTATAATATTTAAAGAAGAGAAATATAATTAATTCTCTTTATTTAAAGTAACTATTTATATTTAAAACAGGAAATGAGGATAAAATATGTTTGATTCCAGATGTGACCTCGCATCATATTACTTCTGGTAATTGTAGTCAAAATATTAAAGTTTCACCCGGTCAGGTGTGCACATTTGATTGCCATATGAGCGGTGTAGATTATATTCTCTATGAGCCCTTAAATGGAACAGGCAAGATTACCTGCCAGGATAATGGAAAATGGTCTGAACCACCACTAATGTGCAAAGGTTATGATTCGCTAATATTATTATTGTTGTTAAACGACTAAATTTAGTTGACTAAGAGTTTATGGTTGAAAAATTGACTTCGATCCCGAATGACTAAATTAGCTAACTATTCGACTAATTTGGTTGACTAAGTCGATTTTTTATCGAACTTGCATCACCATCTAGTTGGGTATGACAATTTTTTTCGCTAAGCTATCGCCGATTATAATAGGCGAAGCTAAGCCATGGCTGATTTTAATTGGCTGAGGCTAAGCCATGGCCTATTTTAATTGGCTGAGGCTAAGCCATGGCCTATTTTAATTGGCTGAGGCTAAGCCATGGCCTATTTTAATTGGCTGAGGCTAAGCCATGGCCTATTTTAATTGGCTGAGGCTAAGCCATGGCCGATTTTAATTGGCTGAGGCTAAGCCATGGCCGATTTTAATTGGCTGAGGCTAAGCCATGGCCGATTTTAATTGGCTGAGGCTAAGCCATGGCCGATTTTAATTGGCTGAGGCTAAGCCATGGCCGATTTTAATTAGTTGTGGCTATGGCCGATTTTAATGCCATGGCCGATTTTAATTGGCTGTGACACATACGTTTAAATATTTTAGTTTCACTCCATAATGGTTTAAAATAAAATTCTAATGCTTTGGGGAAACTTATGTTATACTTACAATGTAATTAAAGGGTGACAATTGTCATTTTAAAACTTTTTCAGTGTTTTTTAATTAAGATTTGTAAAAATATTTTAAAAGAATAACGGCTTTTTTTTTAAATTAAAACAAACTTACCTATAATTTATTTTTCACTACACTAACCTACAGAAACCTTGATATGTTCTGACTTGAATAAAGACAAGAGTGAATTCATTGACGTGGCTTGCCCTGATAATAAATTAGATTCCGAATGCAAATTAAAATGTAAAAATGGTAAAAACTACCTCAGCGGGCCTTTCACAAGGAAATGCGTTGTTAATAATAGTAACGAAGCCGATCGAAAACCCTTTTGGAATGGAGATCCATTAGTCTGTTCTAGTTATAAAAATTATTTAGTATTGAATTATTTTTTGTATAAATGATTTAATTTTATTTCTCAATAGCATTAAAACTATAGATTTATTTCGCAACCTTATATTCCAACATATATCTTAGAATGCCCTCCTTTATCTTGGTTTAATGATCATCCTAGTCTAAAAATTAAATGTGGCGATGATTCAAATTGTAATATAAGTTGTGAATCCAAACATTGGATGAATGTTATTCCTGCTAGGCCAGAAATAATGTCTATGACCTGCTCAAAGAAGTCCACGAAAAATGAAAATTTTATTTGGAAGGAACTGAATGGAAAGAAAGAGATAATAACAGACGAAAAACTCTTGCTTAATAACAATATTCCCTTTTGCGGACGTATGATTTTAAATATAAATTCCTTGGTTTATAATATATTATTATTAAATAAACTACCAACTAGAGTTAAAAACTTCTCATTTTTTAAAACATCACACATCCGTATATAAGTATACCTTTAATGTTTAAAGATATACGCATAGTAATAAATATTTACCAAATATAAAATTTGTATCTCTAAAGCCAACTTATTAAAATTTCTAAAATCTAAATTATCTCTTAAATTTTATTTAAGGAATATTAGTTCCCTCAATAATATCAACCACAATAAACTTCAAATTAGTAAGAACTACTTCCGAGGAAGTCGATTTTCCAAGTCTGGATGTTCTATGTTTTAACTTAGGCCAGTCAATTAATACATGGATTTATGACGTGTTGCTAAAACTTAATCGATCATTAAGTTTTAATTGTTGGATAAAGTCAGATATGTCGTACTTGGCTGATTGTCCTTGGACGTACACAGCTTCTTTTGTTATGTGTAATAGCTCGAATATTGATGTTTCTCAAGTCTTCAAAAATACAAATATCATTATACCAATCAATGTATCCTTTATGAGGTTTTTTTTATCATTTTTGACAATTAAATAATGTTAAAAATATATTTATATATTAATAAATAATCATTTTTTGGCTTTATACTAAATAAATAAATTGATTTCTTTCATGAATGCGAAAACAGAATATTAAATGGATAATAATAAATAATTTCAATGTTTTTAGCAAGCCCGACTTACCCTACAATAGAAGTGACTTGTTGGATTTGTGGATTCATGTTGCGAACAGGGTTGTCAATTTAGGACATAATTTGGCTTATATTCACACGTTTTCAATAGCAAATAATAAATTCTCAATAAGTCCAACGAATTCTGAGTCCATCATAGATTGTATGAATGGATCGGCTTTATTTAACAATGAAATATGCAGTAATAAGAATTTGACATCGAAATTCAAGCACATATAAATGCCAACAAAATAAATTATTACTTAGTTTTTTAAATATTGTAGAGGCAGTAGAGTGAAGGAGGTACAAGGGTTCAGGCCCCCTTAAAAATGTTTCAAAAAAATTACAAGTAAATGCCTTCTTTTTTTTACTAAAATTTTTTTTCCCGCATTGTAGTAAGAATTACCTTCTTTTTTTGCTAATTTTCAAAATGTGAGCCCCTTGAAGTTGCAAAGGCTAGTGACACCACTCATCAGATGATTACTATTTTGCATTAATATTTTATTTTACTATGTATTCATCAAAAACTAATAGTAAAATGTCCAAAGGGTACAAGATTGGACCTACAGACAAAAACGTGTCGGATGTGTTCTATTGGTCACTATCAAGGCGAAGAGGGACAAATGAGTTGCATCAAATGTCCTGAAAATTTTAATACACTATTCGAAGGAGCCTATGATTTGTCACATTGTGAAAAAATCGGGGATGCTGTGACACATAAAGGCAAAATAAGAATCTAATTTTTAAAGTTTTTTTTATAAGAAAGCTTGTAGAAATTTTTAAATAACTTTTAGGACTTAAGTCGATTTAAATAACTATATAAAATCCAAATATATTTCGAATATTTGTTTAATTATTTATAGGCAAAAGAAAAAGTTCAACCCATATAGTTTTAATCATAGCGATTCTCTTTCTTATCACGCTTTTATGCCTCGGAGGTTATTTCCTAATGAAAGACAAGGGGTATACCTATTTTATGAATTTAAAATCTTAAATTTATTTTTCCAAAAGCATTAAGTATTCATAGAGACGTGAGTCAGTCGGCTTTGTGTCCTCCTGTCCTAGGAAAATTGTTATTTATTATATCACTCTTGCGCATAATATGTTTTAAATAAATTTAAATAGGGGAGCCGAGGCTACATGATAGATGATATGAAAAGGCAAATGATACAACTTTCTCATCTTTTAAGACTAATTGTTTACACTTAGTCAAAAGATATATTTCTATAAATTGTATATACTAAATGTTCTCTTAGTAATGGAAGCTCCGCACTCAGGAGATATCGATCAAAAACTATTTTTCGCTTTTCACTAACTTTCTTATTTAGTATTTTTTGTCTTGAGTCAAAAGTACTATTTAAAATAAACTATTTAAAATTTTTAATTTATCTAGAAAAATTACTACATTTAAGTTAGCTCATTATCCTTAGGGCTATACGGTAATGGATAAAACAAGAAAATTTGAGAAGCAAATGTCTTCCAGAGCAATTTTTCTACAGAAAATTTTAAGTGTGGGGGGGGGGGGAGTATTCTTCCTGAAATTAGCCACTGAACCCTTTTATTTTTACCGATTATATTTGTAGTGATCGATTTAGAGATGAAATCGTTTCGGGTAACGTCATTCCAAATGATAATCGGAGCGCATTTATAAGTATTGGAACAGTGATGAATTATTATCCCATTCACTATCTAATCATAGTAGCAAACATGTTTGCACCGGGGGGGGGGGGGGGGGGAGGGGTATCACAAAATTGTTATTAAAATATAATAGGAATAAATGAGGGTAGGAGGTATTTTGTTTTAGATGGGTAATATTATCATTGGTTTAGACCTATATCGAGATTTTGCCCAAGCGACAAAAAAGAATGAAATAAGTGTCAAAAATTATTTTTACCTTTTTATAATATTTTTTTATTAAAATGTAAAGAAGATTTTTAAAAAAATCGACTGGAATTGTGTAGTGTGGTATTTAAGTTGAAATAACACCAAGAAAAGTGAAAATTTAATACGATATAGAATTTTTGCACAAGTTGCCCGACCCGTTATAATTTTTAAAAATTCCCTATCCGGACAGGTACGTTAAAATTTTAAGTAAGGCCCTGAGGGTTAAATCTTTTTGTATGAATTATCGGGCCTCATTTTTAATATCTACATCTAATTTTCCCCAGTATCAATTAAGGCGCTTATTTTAAATAAATCATGTTTGATATCTGTTAATTGGATATCATTAATAAATTGTTGAATTTTTCGTGAATTTATTATATAATTATGGATTTACTATTTTAGTTAGCTATCTCTAAAATACAAAGAAATAAGCATATTGTAGTTTATTTTCAATTATTAATCAAAAGATAAGTTTGAATATCAATATAGGAAAATTTTAATGCCCGGGCTGGCCTATTAGAAATTTAAAAAGAATTAAAGATTAATTGACTCTGTCAAAAAAATATTTGAGTATAAATTGCCCGGCCAACCCATTATAACTTTTTTTATAATTTGCCCGAGCCGACCCATGGACCAGGCTGAGCATTAAACATTTCTAATTTCTTTTGATTTTGTATTAATTATGACAAAAAAATTTAAAAAATTGTATAGGTTAAATTTGTTATTTTATCTATAAAGGTTTTCCATCTTACCCAGAGTCGTTGCAAAATAGCAAAAAGCATCACTTTTACTTAATCATAAATAGCCCCCATAGTATAAAAAATAGGTAGTCCAGGTTTCTTTTATATTTCATAGATAAATGTTATGATGCTATTCAAAATCAATGATATAATTATTTTAATCTATAAAAAAATTGAAATTTTATAGCAAAAGAACAGAAATCCTTAAATATAACTCCATTTTCTCTCTATATATTATAATATTAAAAATCTAATCTTTTTATACTTTTTGTTTAACACATGCTAATCATCACGGTTGTGATGGCATTAAAAAAGTACCTTTTAAAAATCCAAGTGAATAAGAAAAATTGTAACTATTTTAAAATATCCATCAGTAGGAGGCTAAATTTGAGTGTGAGGAAGGTCAGAGAAAATTACAATAGATTTTACATCGGATATGTTAGATCTTGACTTGATAACATCGATCTATATCATGATTACTCTTTTCCAATTGGTGATTCCATTTCAACACACATAATCACAATCATAGCCTTTAAATGATAGCCTTAAAATTTAATGTCCCTACCAGATGCCACAATATATCAATTATAGTTTAGGCTGTCCAAAATGTTTTGAATAAATCCTTAAAATTTTAAAATTTTGGCAAATTAATAACAAAACATTTTGGACACATTTAAGTTTTATAAATATTAAAATATTCATATGCTTGATATTATTCAATCATTAGTTAATTATTAAAAGATATGTAAATATTTAATTGTATTTATTATTCTATATTACCTTTCAGTTAAACTTTGTTTGAATCTATTATTTGATCATGGTTATATTTAAATATTATTTATATACTTAATAAATACAATGTTGTAAATAATTATATCAATATTAACAGTTGGAAAACCAATAATAACTTTTATTTAGAAAGTTAATTTTTCCATAAAAAATATATATAAATTATTATATTTTATATAATAAAATTGTAATATAAATAATATAATAACAAAAATAGATAATTTACATAAATGAAGCTTAATTATTAATAAATATAGGGTCATCATTTTATTTGTTAACTTTAATACCTTGATCTAGCTATTATTCAAATTTATTATTTTTTTTAAAAAAATTTTTTTATAAATACCGAAAAATGAAATAGGACACTATTTTATTTTTACATTAAAAATAGCTTATGTTATTTATTTCTTCAAAATTTATATTTTTAGATTTTGGACACAGCCTTAAGTATTTCTGGAGCTAATAAAAATCTTTTTAATAATGTTTTAAGAATTGAAAAATATTAACTTAAACTGAAACACACATTAAATCTAGTGGAGGATATATTGATATTTCTTTCAAAATTCAAAGAAACAATTTAATTTCTTTCATCATAAAAAGGGACTACCTTGAATTTAAGTGAGATAAAACCTCATATCTTAGTAAATAATAATGGTAGCTCGAAAATTATTCTACTTAAAGAAAATATGTTTAAAATAAAAGCTAGCTCTAAAATTTTCTATTAGCGATATGCAGACAATATTGAATAAGTATTTTAATTTACTTTTTTATTTCATATAACAAAATTGTACGTCGACTCATTTATAAATTATCTTAAACTTCTAGAGAACGATGGTATTCAATCAGTAAATGTAAAGACTGAAGGCACAAAGCTAATAAGTTATCATTCAATTCCAAGCACAGATTATAATATATATATATATATAAATTGGAGCAAGAATGTCAAATTCTAATGAGAAAACTTCATCCGCATGATGTAGATGTTTTAAATGGAATAGAATGAAAAACTTATGCAAAGCATTTTCTCTATAGCTGAGTTAACAAAGAAATTATCCTTATGTTCGGCAAATTTGAATAAAATAATTTTTATGCATTAGGCTGAGTCCATAACTAAAAAATATAAATAAATTTTGAATAAAAAAATAACATAAGCTATTTTTAATGTAAAATAAAATGGTGTCCTATATCATTTTTCGGTATTTAT